ACCCACTACAATGCCCGCAAACCTTCATTCCAATTTAGGAAAGATGCTCAACTTTCGAACCATGACTGACTACTCTCTAAACAGATTAAGAGGATAACTGAAGAAGTGTTTTGCAGTGGCACTTAATATCCAACCCCATGGTTTCCCATCTCATCTTCTTCTCCACATGCTGCAGCTATGACAGTCTGATTCACAGCTCTCTGCTGTCCTACCCGCCTCCCCTTTAATCTCTCCACCAATATCTCTCCTTACTCTTCTGCATTTTTGATCTTTGGATCTGAGTCCACCCCCGTCATCACCATCCACCCCCAAAAACAATTTTCTGTGGCATTAGTAATATCTTCTACTCTTTTCTTTAAGCTTGTGTTTACCTCTGCAGACTTGCCCTGCTTCACTGTCTCTTTCTCTCTGTCTCTCTCTCTGACCCCTGTCACAGTCAGTAAAGTTCTGATGAGAAGCTACCTAACACTGCATTGTCTGATCAGGTGTTGTTGAGTAAGCGAGTTTGCAGCCTCGATCTCTTGGGGTCAGCTTAATGCTATCCTCTGCTGGATCTCTCCTTGTAACCCGGTCTGCTGCCTGCCAGCCAGGCCCTACATTTCTGCTCCAACTGTTGACTGGCTTCTCCAGTGCTTACACCTACAACATACTACTGCACCTCCATGCCAAACAGCATTTTCAATGCTACAAGATGTCCAGGTCTGCACTATATTTGCATGCATTAGTGTCTAATGACTCAGCTAATAGTGTTACTATTTTTAATGTGTATTAATATGTTTATGGTAAAACCTCTCTGAAGCCTACTAACATTTTTCGTCCACCAAAATCAAGATATATGGTTTATCTGAATTTTTTTCTGTATCTCATTTTATACCTACCTGCTAGTGCTTGTTTTTTCCAGATCTGTTGTCCGTGTGCTTGTTTGATTTAACTTAGAAAAAAGGTACCAAAGTTAATCTGCAGGGCCAGGGAGTTTGATATCCTTTCACTTTTCAAGTCAGATTCAACCTTGAACAAACCAAGAGGGAGATTATTGATTAATTGCTATACATTAATGAGCCAAATTGATCTGAAAGAAGGGCAGGAGTATAGATCCCTGACAGGGCAACCACTTGAAAGGGTTTTCTGTACAGTAAGGGACTATGCAGGACACCCAGAGGAAGGTGATTACACGGTAAAATCAGGTAGATGATCGTCCTTTCTGTGATTTGTGCCAGCCACATTTACAAGTGGTGGGCAGTAGCAGTAATAAATTTAGCTTGTGTCTGCTGGTGTGATGCTAAAATGACAACTGAAACTATTCGCGGCTCAAAAACACTGCAGGAAGAGAATTTACATGTGGAGACAGAAAACATATAATTATATTTTTTGGCATCAGAGTATTAACTTGTGCAAATGGCTTTTATATGTACATGTTTTTAAAAGATATGCACTTGTGTTATATAATGGAAGTTTAATCTCTAATCTCTAAGCCTTTTTTTAAATCCGTAGAACTTATATAAGATATTTACATTGCATATCCTTCCAATGTCCCCATGCGGTCGTACTGGGAGTCTGGCTTCACCTTTCGGATTGTGGCTGTTAACTGTAGTCCTTATTCTGCTCTGTGAGCTCGCTGGCCAGCCTAAAAAGGTGGACAACTGGTTGTACTTAAGGCTTTTCCTGGGTGATCAGGCAGTAGAGTACTTAGATGTATATGATGGAGCATTGTCCCGCATTATTGTTCTCTCTGCTTTAAATGCTCTATACTCTCTGATGTCCCAAATTGTAGACAGTCCAAATAGCTCATCCTTAAAGAAAGCAACCAATACCAATACCCTCCACTGTGCTTTCATCTGGTCCATTAAGAGTTACTCTCATTTTATCTGTTCATCAAATCTTTGAAAAATCTTGCTTTGTGAAATCTTGATGCTTCCACCATGTGGCCATTTTATGTTGGCCTTATTTCTGAGCACTCCTGTCATTCTTATTCATTTTAATTGTTTAAATGTAAATGCACAAAAAGACCAGAGATCAGACGATGGCGCTCATATGGGATTTCTCTACTCATTTTGAGCACTCAAAACACTATACAAGCCCTGTTCATGCATTTTAAGTACTATATTTAACTTATCAGTCAGACTACAATGCATGCATCAGGGGAACTCAGGGTTCAGTATCTTGCCCAAGGATAAGAATCACGTGCAGATTAGAGGAGCCGGGGGTCGAACAGCTCACCTTCTGATTGGGGAGATGAGCTGCTTTACTTCCTGAGAGTTTTAATTTTTTATGTCAAAAAACCCTCAAACCACCAAAAGTGGTGGTGGATTGTAACGCTTTCCATCACATTACATTTTTCTATTGCATCTTTAATATTACCTCATTACAGTACTAACTGTATTAACATTGCTACTGTTCAAGCAACTGTTATTACTACTAACACAAAGCTAGCTTGATTGTCAACAGGTAACAAAAGCAGTAATAAGCGTTGTTGCTATGTAGCATCCATTTTTACCCATACCTGTCACTGTAGAAGTATTCTTTGGGCTGTTTTTCACCAGCTTTTCTGCTGGTTCTGTGTTTATACTTCAACACTAAAAGAAAATGTGTGCGCCTTCATTAGCATAGGGATTTATATGGCTCTGTACTCTCAGGTTTACATTTTTAAGTCATAATTATGTGCATTATTTTTGTATGACGACCCCAACACTGAATGTCACACAAAGCTTAAAGCTCAAACAGCAGATGGGATATCTGGTGATTTTCCCTGAAAACACGATTAACTGTACTATATGTGGTCATAGTCGGTTCATTCATGTCCACATCAAATCACAAGCCACTGCAGCTCAGACAACTCATTATGTAAACAATTTACAACCCATTTCATAGAAAACAGGAATCGTTTAGGCTACACTGAACAGATGCATAGTGAGGGGAATTTAGGGATGCAATATTTTTTTCATTGTTATGTCACATCTGTTAAATCTGAAAATTTTAGCAATGTCTTGTCAAAACAGACGTGGTTTCTGAATAGTTCATTGGATGTGACTGACAGGAAGTTATTCTCGTTTTAATGATATGCGGGCTTAAATGTATTAAGCCAGTACAATCTTATCATCAAACAATTAAAGAAACTCCAAGAGTAAAACACTCAGATGCTCAGACCAAATGCAGTAAATAGTGTGAACTAAGATAAATACAGCAAAGCAATATTTTGGCAATGAGGATCCCGTTGAAGCAATGTAGACATATGTGAACAAAGGGATGCAGAATGAAATGAAAGTCCTCGTCAAACATGAAGCACTGCTCTTCGCTTTTGATTCTCATGTGGGGGAAACACTCTGAATTCACGGTTTCTTCTCCAATCAGCCGTGAAGGTATGTTTCCTCTTTAAGAATGATGTTTGTTCAGCAACATATTCTGTAGCATACTACTGTCGCTATTTGTGCACCAATGAGCCTAAACATTTCGAAGTCATCAATTCATTGCAGCAGTCACACCAAAGAAGAAAAAAGTACTTTGAAAATAAATTAAAAAAACATGATTTTTCTCCTGAATTAAAGCACACAAAGGTAAACATATAAGGAAAAGCAAAGACGCTTACTTTGTACGAAATGTTAAAAAAATAGCAAGCCATCATATAATGAGCACTATCTTATGAGCACTAATACTACAAAGCTTTTGTTTTGCATCCTTAAAGTGGTAAGAAAGAAAGGAATCTTAGCATCACATCACACGAATCTCTGTTCAGAGACTCAGAGCTGAAGTTCTGCTTTCAAAGACCAAGCATATCAGACAACCTGACAGAATTAAGCCTGCACTGGGATTGCAGTGGTTTTTAGCTATTTTGACAATTTATTGTTTGTGCAGGTCTGCATAATTATGTCTGGAGATGCAAAAGCTCTGTTATGTGCATGTAAACTCATGTCAGAGTTTTGTCTGACTAAAAACTTGTTTTATTTTTATTATGCAGACTTGAGAGATGTGGCGACCATTGGGAGAGGTGAGGATGCAGGAGGTGGCTGAGCTGAGAATGACTGCTAATGTGAAACTCAGATATGACAATGACAAGTGTGAATGGTTGGGTGTGAGCTTCACTGTTCATTAGAAATAAATGAGGACTGACAAAAAGAACTCTTAAACTAGTAAACAAACAAATGCGTTAAAACTGCTTACTTTGTCATTGATTTTGCACTAAAATGTGTGTGTGTGACTAGCAGGAAGCTACTCCTTTTGAATGATATGGGGGCTTAAATGTATTGATCCAGCACAATTAATTCTTATTATCAAACAATACCAGCGGCAAAATTTAAGAAGCTCTGAGACTTAAAACAACCAAATGTAGTAAATAGTGTGAACTATGATAAATATAGTAAATAAACCTTTTGGCAATGAGGATCATGTTGACGCAATATAGACATATGCAAACAAAGGCATTCCGAATGAAATGAAAGTCCACATCAAGCATTAAGCTCTGCTCATCAATTTTTACTTTTCATCACTTTTCTCACTCTGAATTCACAGTTTCTTCTCCAATCAGCCATGAAGGTATGTGCCCTCTTTATGAATGATGTTTGTTCAGCAAAATTTCCTTAAGCTGTGGCTACCATTGGGAGAGGCGTGATGCAGGAGGCGGCTGCACTGAGAATAACTGCTAATGTAAAACTCAAATATTACACTGACAAGTGTCAATGATCAAGTGCGAACGGAGCTACAAGGCATCTTGTTGAAGTGTTGATCATCATTGTTTGGACAGGGAATAAAAGAGGACCAAACAATGTGAAAAAGGACTAATAACAAAACCCTGTGAGTGTCTTTCAGAATGAACGTTGAATTGGAAAACTTTGTATAAAAGTGACTTATCTCATTTTAGTGCATAGGTAAATTTTCCATTTACATGAAGTGTGAAAAGTAATTTTAGCCCAGTTTTAAGATAACAGGTGTAGCTCTCACCTCTGGTACAATATCCCAAAATATGGGTGAACAGAGAAGCAAGATGGAAATGATATTAGTTGACTCACCTGGTCTTTTGTCATTTCGCCCTTTTCGACCTCCGCATAGCCGTACTTTGGAGATCAGGACAAGGATCTGTTTCTGGCACAGGGACTTGTTGCTCTTAGGACAGGGCTTGCGCTTGCTGGCTACCGGTCGGTTGGCTTGGTCGTCCTTGACCGCCCGTTTCTGTCTAATGAGAGAGCTGGCGAGAGCTGCCATCTTCCCCCCCTCTCACCTTTGGGAGGGGGGTGACTTCCTTCCCGGTACCCCCTTTGCTGGTTTGGCTTTTGCTTTCCTCAGTACACTAGAATAGGACGAATGTTATAAAGAAAACCCCACAGGGGAGATCGGGAGTCTAAGTGGGTTAACAGGGAAGAGTTTAGTTTGAGGGTTCCCTTGGAGAGGGATGAACTGGATAAGATGCAAGTTCACATGCAGTCCAATGTAATGGACCAAAAAAAAAAAAAAAAAAAATCAAAATCTGACAGTAACAGATCCCAGGAAAAAAATTTTTTTTAAACTGATACAGTCACATTTTCAATGTAAAACTTTGAGACCAGCTTTAAAAAGACAGACTTTTCCAAAAGGTTACGCTCGAGACATGATTCTATCCCGCTTCCCCACTCATCTTTCACATCAAAATGTGGCCTGGCAGCCAAGTACAAAATGTTATATTGCAAAATAACTAACCTACTTTAAACAGGCGATACAGAAGAGAAAGAGCTCAAATTAATTTACGTATAAAAACACTTTTAAAGAAGAAAAGTGGGCTCATTTTGAATGCTAGGAAGCTCTTAAAAGCGCAAGAAAAACCAAACTGTTTTTCACCATTCTTGCATTCCATGGCGGTCCAACTTTGCCTCCCATTTAAATGTGGCAGCGTGGAATAATGAGCCGAGAGTCCAAGCAGTAATCCAGCTGACTTAAATCCAGAGGTAGCAGAGCAGGCGGGACACTGACGGTCTTTGTCGGAATGAAGCCGGGAACGGAGCAGAGACATGGACACAGACAGGCAGAGACTCCTCTTCTGCCTCCAATGGCATGCCTCTTTCCCACAGACCTCACCAAAACCCCCCTCTTTCCTTCTCCCCTCCCCCCTCCTCCTCCCATCCAAAGTCAGCGAGTGGTTGTGAGAGTATGTGTGTGTGAATTCCAGCAGCCACCATCAGTAGAGGTGACATTCATGACAGAGAGAGAAAGGAAGGGGGGGGAGCGAGAGACAGCAAAAGAGACTGAGGGAGGGGAGGGGAGGGGGAGGCAGAGGCTGTGATGTGTAAGAATGAGCTTGGCGGGGAAGACGGAGGAAAATGTGGGAGAAGGACGTCTTAACAGCCACTTCACCGAGGCTACAATTTTGTTATTTCACAGAAAACATCCCCCTAAAAAAACAAACTAGAGCCCCCCTGAAACAGAGACACAGCGCCAGAGTAGGAGAAAGACACCAGAGAGTGCTGGAGGTGCAGATTGTGACAGTTCTCTGTCTCCTCGAGAGGAGCAGCATCACCACGTGCTACCTTCCTGTCACATGCACCCACTCACACACACACCCAACACACACACACAGAGCAAATCAGCATATTTTGTAATGGAGCCTTCCCTGCTGTATAATTGCTCATCTCTAGTCTGTGTTTTTCTTCATCTCCCTCTTTGAAACTCACTTACATGATAGTAATCTCCATATTCTTCTTTGCTTCCTTCAGCTTTACATATACAATTGAGTGGGGGGGGGGGGGGGGGGGGGGGGGGGGGGGTCTCTGTACCCTGAAATTGACATTTAGTGTCTGACATAGCCGACTGCTGGCTTACACTAACCCTGACAGAAACATGAGTTAGGACAGATTGAGTAAGACAGCTAGCCCTGCCAACACACACATACTGTCCTGCTCTTCCAAAGGCAGACTTTATGTTTGAAATTTTAGAAAAAGAGCAGGTCTGATTAAAGTTTTTCCTTTATTTCACTGAATGGAATGAAAACAACCCATGCATTTGACTGCATTTATACACGAAATGTCATGAATTTGCTTGTAAAAGTAGATATATATAAATTATCTTAAAAGATTTGGGCCATAATTTGAAAAAGCCATCAATGAATCTGTAGCAAAACTGGATATAAAAACACTAGACATCTCTGGCCCAACCCCTCAGACTCAGAGCCAATAAATTAACTTATCTGATTGGCAATCAATCCAGTTTTATTTGACACGGCACATTTTTTACAAGCCAGTCGCTGGGGAAACCAGCAGTAGAGGCGACTTCAAAATGCAAGCTCAATTCAGATCGTTTCTAACAATGCCACGCAAGGTCACTGTCTCTCAGAACTTGATTGACAAGTGACAGCAGATGTTTAGTCTCAGCGACGGACGAGGGCATGCCTGGGGCAGAGGAGAGAGAACCACGCATGAGATAATGCAGTTTGTACTGATGTGAAAACATAAAAAGGATTTTTTTTTCTAATGATCCTCCCCTTCCTTCCAACAATCCCCACCATTTCCAACAATCCCCAGCCACTCCCTAGTCTTACTCTGGGTTAAGAATCAATCTCCTAATGGACATTGCATTGCACACATTGCCAAAGGTTGTTCTTCTTTTTGCTTTTCCCAGTCACAAGTACATGCCAAGTTACACCAAAAGAAAGCTAAGTAGGGATTCTTGGGACATTATACTGTCTCAAGGTTAAGAAATGTGTCCAATATTATAATGAAATATCACGCTATAAACTTAGAGGACTCATTAAGACCCAGCATTTTTTAATTTCTTTGTAAGACCTACTGTATCAGCACAAAACCAAACTAAAAAAAAATAAACACTCATTATGCCAGAACACTTTAATATCCTGGTTAGAGTCAATTACTTACCATATCACTTTTGCCTCAAACACCTAGCTAGGTTCTTATACCCACAAATGCTCACACAGGAGACTCTGCCAGCCTTAGGATGTTTTATTCAGGAAGGAAAGAAACAGTAAATCTAAATGAAAGTAAGAATGATAAAAATAGCAAATGAGCTTTCTGTCAAATGTACATGTATAAATTCTCATCATCTGAATAATATACAAAAGAGGATTAAATTATGTTTTGCTAAAAACAATCCATTGCACAATCCCTGCATGCATATCAAATTACATGGAAACGGGGGGTATTAACAGCATATCCTCTTTTAAAGGGCTTTATACAGAAATGTTTTTCCAAGGATAATGATTCTCAGGTTTTGGTACATTCCATGTTACTTAACAGTCTTTTATAATCTTCCCTAGATAAGCCAGATGGATGAAAGATAGATGGAAAGGAGGGATTGTTTATCCATCTTCATCCTGAAAAGTAATTACAGTTGTGAAAAGTACGTAGCTTGGACAGCTATTAGTTGGCTAATAAAAGTGCACCAGGTTGCAAAAAACCCCATAAGTAAGACTCTTGAAACTACCAAACTGATAGCTTGGCTGCCAGAAAAGATACATCAGAACAAGAGTATAATTGGTCTGCAAATGTTGTCCAAGGAGTCATAAAGAGCCTACTCCCAGCTCCAAGGGAACAGCAGCACAAAGACTAAACATCCATAAATGACACTAAGTAGTGATGCAAGGATATCTGGGAGAAAGAGACATTACACAATACCATTGGCTTTGGTGGATGGAGCTAAGATATACAGTAGCTACCAAGAATAAGAAGATCACAAAGGTGGTCCACTGCCTGGACCAAGTACGATCCAACTCCTTTTGGCCGAAACACCTAACAGATATCTGTGATCACCTGGCAGAACAATTGTATGAGCTACAAAGAATAGGCACACCCAGACCTGCCAACACAGAGCAGAACAATGCTGATGAGGATTCACACAAGGGTAACTTCCAGCTACTGGCGAGTAACTTGCCTTTCCGTAGGATGGAATCTCCTGTAAATTGAGTAGGCACATAAGCTGACACATGCCCAAAGCTCAGAATGGCACTGGAAGCAACGCCAGGAGATCAAAGCACCAGCTAATAGGGGAATCAACATAATCAGTGCCTTGATTGACTATAAATAACCCTATCACTGATGCCCCATACATGTCATCCACCTTATTGCAGAAGTGAAGTGACCATCAGCCATCTACATGGATGACATCAAGCCATATGGCAAGAGTCAATGAGACATTTGACACACTAATCCATCCAACATCTATATGATAGCAAAGAAAGGGCAAATAAAAAGTCCTATCAGTCATTAATTAAGCTGGCCATATAAGAGGTAATAGATTGACGCCAAGACGTGAAAACTTCTCACTGTTCCATGCGAAGAGGGTCTATGTGCAATCAAAAGAGGGAGGATGTGGATTAGTGTGTGTCACAATCACGACTGAGAACGAAACAAGAAAAATACATCAAAATGTCCCTCTGTGAAGAACTGCTATATGACTGCCTCAGGCAGCAGAAGACAGATGACCTGGAGGAGGAAGATAAAATATAATAGAAGACCCAGCCCCTCCATGAATGCATCATCTGCAGATACTGGCAGACATCAAGATATTCTTCCAGAGGATAGAAAAGGCCACCCTGAAGAATAGCACAGAGTCTCGGATCACGACAGCACAAGAACAAGTCCTAAGCACCAGATCCGCAGAAGCAGGCGTCGAGCACAGCAGCCAGAACCCAATGTGGTGATCCAAATGAGATAGTCCAGCTATCTCTCTGTCCACTCTGTCCACTGTAACAGAGTGTAAGACAAAACAAACCCTGAAAGCCTTAGCCAGGTGGATGGCATAGCATATAGCCACATTTGTGTAGGAGCCCCAAAGTCCTGATGGAACACATATCTAAAAGTGGTTGAAAATAACCAACAACTTCAAATTCCAGACGGACAACCAGATGCTGGCTAACCAACCAGACACTGTGGTGGCTGACAAGGAGCAGAAGACTGTGACAGAAGTCTCCATCCCAGCTGAACATTTTGGATTTCTTATCAGTATAGATTATAAAAGTTATTTGGAAATAAGATGTTTGTTCATTTCCTCAAACGTATGATTGCTCATCGGACACTTTGTCTTGCAAGATCTTTTTCAGACCCGAGTAAAAGCAGTGAGCTTGATAACGCCAAAGCAATTATTTAATTGATGATTGGTTATTTATTAAAGAACTGCAAGAAATGTTGACAGGGATTTATATACGGATGGAAATACAGACAGTAAAGCTGCTGCAAGGTGCTCCTTGAAAACGCTGCTTCATTGAACTGTGATGGAGTATAGCTACCCTGAACTTTAGACATGCGCCCATGTTTATGTTAACACATAGATACACACACACACACACACACACACACACACACACACACACACACACACACACACACACACACACACACACACACACACAGCCAGAAAGAATTAAGCACATCAAAACAATTGGCCCAGTTCTGTCTCTTTCTCCCTCCTCTCTTCATCACTCTCTCTCCTTCAATCCTCTCTCAGCTCATCATACTGTCCACAGATGACAGGAGGTATTCTTCGTAATCCCCCTCCATTATGCGACCATGTAGAATCCGAGGCCCGCTTCTTGCATACAGAAATATTCTTTCCTGTGTCCATGACCCACGGGTGAGTTGCCCATTAGCTTTGAGCTGCACATATCATTCTCAGTTTCATTGCTTTTTTTAACAGTGTTCAGACCATTCTGGTAATTAGCTTTTAATACTGATTATTCGGACAGATACGGAATCTCGTTTTTTATGTACAACACCTCCTGAGTTTCATTTGCAGACACCTGGTTTCTAATTAAAGCTAGTTATGCTGATTTTTTTTTTAAATCATTCAAATAGTTATGTTATTGATAATTTTGTTTCCAATATATTCCCAGTGTACAGAAAATTTATTTAGGAAACAGTCGTCTGTTATCAGATAGAGTACCATCTTTATGCAGTTTCCCACAAGAACAATCATCAACACAACAATGTAAGTATGACTACCACAACTTTACTATGTTTATAATTGATAAATTATGGCTATTATGTATTTATTCAGAATTGTATTATGCTTATGGTTTGGGGATAGTGTAAGTATGTTTTATTGTGTGACTGTGTTAATGAAAATTTTATTTCTACATACATCGTGTGCTTAGATGTATCTATTTATAATGTTTTTGTAACCATGCTAATGCCATGGCTCTAGATATGTCTAGTTGGCCTGTC